AAAAAAAAAAAAAAAAAAGAAACAACTCTCTGCTGGCAATAACTCTTTTGCCTAAAGTAGCCTTCCCACTGTCACATGGTGCAGTTTTAAAGTTACGGTGAAATGCTAACAGGCAGTTTGGATTAAAGTTAACGGCAAATGACGGCTTCACAGATTAATTAATTGCTGCACAAATAAGTTGATGTACAACTATTTGCTTTTAAATCTTACACAATAAGAAGTAAATTAGAAGTCAAACCATTTTTTTTCTTTGAAGAACTAAAAGGACAGAATGTCTTTGATGAACTTGAGAACAGCATACTGGCTTCAAGGCAGACTGTTGTTGTGTAGTCTGACCCATAATAATGTAGAACTTTTCTTACATGTTTATAAAATAAATCTTAGAAGAAAAATAATACTGTAGCCTTTTTTAAAAAAATGAAATTCTATGAACGTTTCACAGAACTTGGATGTTCCTGGGAGCGGTTAGGGAAATGCTGGCTCAAAAGCTTATTTCAAATAGTTGTGAGGCATTGCAGTTGTGGGCTTTTGCTCTGCTATAAATACAACTCTAGGGTATGGGTGGTCTTTAACCCACCAAAGTCAGCACCCGGCACCCGGGGTTCTTACCTGGTTTTGTTGGAGCAAATCCAGAGGCCCCCTCTGGATGACAGGGTCTTCAGTAGTTGAGATTTTGTGTTACCTCAGACTGTGTCACCCCTGCCTCGGGACCAGTGTTGGTTAGAGCAAGGGACCACACCATCCACAGGAGAGGTGATGAGGCCTTCCCGTCCCTTCCTGGGGCTGTCATGTGTTTAATATGTCACCTCTTCTTAGTGGCAAGACTTCGTCAGAGGGCCCGTGAGCAGGAGACGGCACTTTTTTGCTCAGGTAGAACGTCTTTTGGGGGGAGGTCAAATGGGGTGATGGCTGGGGCTGGGTCCGGAGCCTTGGGGACTCGTTCTATCTCATCTGCAGACTTGGGGAAAAAACCCAAATGAGTCCCTTCGCTTCTTGGGACCTCAGTGTCCCTGCCTGTCAGATGAAGGGCTCAAATGGGATGACCTCCAGGTTTCCTTCTAGTGCTAATGGCAGTTCTAGGATCTTTGCTGAGGTTTCCCAAGGAGCATCAGGAGTGTAAGCTGGATGGGAAGGAGTTGGGGGCAAGCAAGAGGCCTAAGCCCTTGCACCCTTGGTTCCATGAGCCTGTGCAACACCCCCGCCCCAGCCCTCCGTTACGAA